CTGGCGCCTGAATCGGAAATGAGGGAGACAACTACTGATTCCACCAACCTCTCGCCATTTGATCAGCTCGGTAGGCTTTGCGGTTCAGTTGGCGTTATTATGATGTGATAAGTAAAAAAAAAAACACGGAAATTAAGGCACGATTTCTCATGACAAATTAGTAGGCTCCCTAGAGGAACACGTTGTGTCACGTGGGCGTTAAAAGCATAACTGTCGCCTCTATGACGTTATAAGTGTTTGCATTAGGTTAATAAATTCCCATTTTGCCGTTTATTGTTGTCTTGGTAATTAACGGGCGGTAGTTTGCACCCTATTGTTGAGATTCAACTATCCAGTTTTGTGAAAGTCGCAGTTTTTTGTAGTGTGAAGTTTTATGTTAACTTAATTTGTGCAAGTGCCTGTGGGCCTCAGTGGGTCCTAAGTTGTTCCGGTGGATTGAAGTTATCCTGACGATGTGAAAGGGAGATTTGAGTGTGCTTGGCGATGACATTGAAGTTTGCAATAGCGACACTGCCACCTTCTAGAAGGAATTACTGGTAGTGATATGAAGTTGTGGGTGGAATTTTAAGTCAGTCTTACTTCCTTTTGAGTGGACTTAACGATTTATGCTGCTGTGTCAGAAGCCAAGCGTTTCGTCGTTTCGGCTCAGTGGGTCGCATAGGATATTCTCTGGAAACGATTTTTTAAATGAATGATTGATGACGCTAGCTTGTTACAGTAAATTTTGTTGGAAAATCATAAGAGATGATATCTTAAACCTATTTTATGTACTTGTTAGCATTATTGTCAACCGGTTTTAACTACATGTTGGTCTCATTTAAAGTCCTCCCGCCATCTGACGCCTTCTTGTGATGCTCCGCCTAATCGCTAATCATGAGGAATTGCGAATAATGATTCCTTAGGCCGACGGAGGAAAGGCGCCGAAGAGCATTGGGTTATGTCACTTTGTTAATTTCAAAACAGGTCGCGACACTTGCATGCATTGAGAAGCAGAGCTCGTGAAATGTGGGCAAATGTGTTCGGCACGCAATCCATGCATACGGGATTGATGTGAGAGAGGAGCGCTTGCTCATCGGCACAGCTTTGCTTCGCCTTGGAAGTGGAAATACATGATGAATTTCAGAAGTCTAACTGGATTGCTCGAGCAGTGATGAGAAATGGGGTTTAGATTGAAAATAGGGAGAGGCGAAGGAGCATCTTCATAGTTCACTGACCTCACTACTGTTTCAACTCTTCTTCCAGGGCTTTGGTGGTGAGGATGCTCATTTGCTGGAGGCTCAAGTTAATCGTGGCTGGGAATAGTCTATTCAATGCACTTGGCTTCCATTTCTATTTCCTTTTAAGTGGCGCTACTGAATGCTTTGTAAGTAGGATGACTACGGAGGAGGTGGGGAGGTATCGGTCGAGGGATTGGCCCTTTGTAACGGATTGAATTGGTGTAAATGGGTTTGAAGAGAGCTATCCTCTAGGTGAAGCTGAATTCTGACAGTCACGTGAATAGAATGGGAAGAAACACGTAATTAGGGAACAAAATTGTGGTTGAAACAAGGTTTTTAGTACTCATGGGGTCCAACCATCTTTTATTAGTAAAATTCATGGCCAATTTTTGTCATGGACGCCAATTCCTTTTGATGAGATATTACGAAAATCTTCCTTGGATTAGTTAAGTTTTCGTAAAGTTAAGCCTTGACTTCTTTGGTGGCCTCGAGCTAACGGTTAGGATAGCCGTTATCCCGAGGGTGTAAAGTTATCACCATTTGATCCACTTTTTGACGCTACTTTTGAGCTACACCTTATTCACTTGTTAAGATTCTGCCGTCCTCCCTTCTAGTGGCGTCTCCTGTGAAAGTGCTACCGGTCCATGCACACCTTCTTATGTATCTGCATAGATATGATTTCAATCAGGTGAGCTTTCCGTGCGGTTTTTGTGCTGC